ACAGGTCCAGGAAATAGATTCATTCTGTTGTATATAAGATCTCTATGACGGGGAGCCATCTCACCAACAACTACAATAGCAGTAATAGTACATTGGAGAACTCATCGCGAGAAGGGAAGAATTAGCTTTGTTTTTGTTTTTTTATTGACAGACTTTAAAATGAAAAACATCCCTTACTTGTGTATATATGTGTTGTTGTTAAGTGCCGTTGAGTCGATTCTGACCCATAGTGACCCTTTGCTTCAGAGGATTAAGATTTGGAATGCACATTGATAATGATGATCTTTTTAAAATCCAGGATACACACATTGTTGTTGTTGCTAAGTGCAGTCAAGTTGGTTCCAACCCATAGCGACTCTGTATAGGGTTTCTAAGGAGCAACCTGGTGAGCTTGAACCACCAACCTTACAGTTCAAACTGACTTTGCAGCCTAGCATATTAACCCACAGCACCACACCAGGACTCCCAACACACATTAACCCATACTTAAATCTTAACCCTCTGAAGATGAAAAAAAAAAAAAAAAAAATCCAATCCTTCCAATAAAAGCTTTGCCGATTTTTAAATGGTAATTTATTATTACATTTTCTACTAGTAATCATCAACTCATCAGTTTCAGATTGCCTGAAATATCTATTTAGATCAAAAAGGGCATCATTTAACATAGGCAAAAAGACTCCTGAAACACTGTCCAACTGTTAAAATGTTGTATATATTTAAATCTGACTAATTTAAATATAAATCATTGTGAATTTTCAAACTTTCAGAGAAAGAAAACAATACTTCAAGAAGCACTGAGTACACTGTGGGCTAGACATTATTTATAACATTTCTCCGTAATAGAAGGGAACATGAGAAAGTGATGAAAACACAAAGGTCATTTATATATATTGTCACTGGGCCAAGAGCTGGTAACACTGGGATTTTAGTATGTTTGATGATTCTGAAAAGAGCTACATGATAAAAGAGCTCGGTAGCTCTATATGATAAGCACTGAACTGTGAGCCACAAGGTCCAAGATTCAATACCACCAGCCTCTCCCCAGACGAATGATGCGGCTTTCTGCTCCCATGAAGATTTAAAGCCTTGGAAACCCTGTCTGAGGTCATGTGAGTTGGAATCAACTGGACAACACTAAAGAGCAACAATATAATAAAAGAGTTAAAGCCAGACACATAACCCAGGAGTTCCACACAATTACATTGTGATTGTGGACATATGACTTATATTGCTCTCCCAATGTGACAAGTGAGGGTAATGTTAATCTATTTCATGTTAGTGTTGGTCCACAAATTATCAAGGAAAATTGGTCTCCTTGAACTTATTCCATCATGTCAAGAGACCAGTGCCCTAACAATTCCAGTGTCTATGGTGATCTACAAATCCTTTGCACCCTGTTGTACCTTGCTTTTCATTTTGTTCAGTTGTAAGACCAGTGAAGTTAAGAAATGAGATTCTAGTGGTGGCCTGGAGTCTTGGTGTGGTGCTAGAGGATCATGCACTGGACTGCAAGGTCAGTGGTTCAAACCCACCAGCCACTCCTGGGAAACCCTATACAGGGTTGCTATGGGTCTGACTCAACGGCACTTAACAAATGCAACAAGTGATGGCCTAGAAGGTGCTTTATGAGACTTACAGCCTAGATTCTCATTTCTTAACTTCCCTGGTCAAACCAACTCAAGGGTACTTAACAACAAGTGATGGCCAAAGTAGCCTAGCAGGTTAGGAGTTAGGCTTCAAACCCCAAGGTCAGCAGTTCAAATCCACCAGCTGCTCCAAGGGAGAAAGAAGAGGCTCTCTGCTCCCATAAATAAAGATTTGTATCCTTGGAAACCTTACACAGGTTTGCTCTGAGTCAGAATCATCTCCATGACACATAGTCATGAGCCAGCCAGAAATGGCCTGGTGTGGTGCTGTAGGACAACTACTGGACTTCTAACCTCAAGGGTGGCAGTTCAAATCCATCAGCCGCTCCTCAGAAACCCTCTAAAGAGTCACTATGGAACAGACTCGGTGGGACTAACAACAACAACCGTGATGGCAGGGTATGGTTAAGAATATTTAAAATAATTCAGTTCAGTAAACTTCAAGACAGGTGATATTCATTCAGATCTAGTTTTTTTTAACACTGGTAACGCATTTTTATCCTGCATCAGAAACTCTCTGACAGTGATAACATGAGCTGCATAATAGTCCTTGAACTTTGATCATTTCATTGAATAAATAGATTAATTAATTGAACATCTATAACCTGATATTTTCTACTTTCTATCATAGGCAACTATACTTGGAATCAAAACAGAATACAAATTGAAATATTAAGTTTACCAAATGGTTACAGTAAAACAATTTCCATTTGAGTTATCAAATATCAAATAGTGTTCAAAATAAATATATGACTTAAATTTAGAACTTGGAGTGAAGAAAACTTCTAAGGTCAACTTTTGAGAACAAGTTGTTTACTGCATGCATTTAGTTTCTTGATCCTTTAACCAATTATGTAAATAATGACAAAAGATATGCAAATGTAAACAGACAATAGTCAAGCCAAACTGACTCCTATCAACAAGGATATTTTCAGGTATATTTAGTTTGATTCATACTGTTGTTGTTAAGTGCCATTGAGTCAATACCGGCCCACAGAAACCCTGTATAGGGTTTCCAAGGAGCAGCTGATGGCTTGAACCACTGACCTTGCAGTTTAAACAATTGTACAGTCTTATACATTAGACCACAGAGCCACACCAGGACTCCTAGGCAAGGGTCAATATAACCAAAGGACACTTAATAGTGATTCTTGGCTATTATCTAAAAACTACACCATAATCACTGGCCAAAAGCAATGCAAACAAGAATCAAACTTATTTCACAAAAATTAATTCATGAATATTTGTATAACGTAAGTTCAACAGAATCATGTTTTTACTGTGTCATGCTTGGAATAATGGTATAGCAATCGAAAGCATATATTACATTTTTCAGTACTATTTGGATCATATTAGTCAATTTTGGACAAAGATTTCCCTCACCACCCCCTAAGAAAATCCAGATTAATTAATAATGCTTAATTCTTAAGAAAGCGTATATAAAATATATATTGAGAATAGTTACAAGCTTTCAACAAAATGCACTCACTTGCTATGGAAATAAGCTTTTCTAAAAAAAATAATAATAAAATACAACATATCTTATTATTATCTGCCACTGTAGGTAGTGCCTGAGATTTAAGCAATAATTATTAAAAGACTGCAAAGTTCTCTTTGCTTCCTTGTCTGCATATTTACTAATTTCACCTGTAGTCTACAGTGGAAAGATAAGCTACAATTCCAAGTTTGGAAACTCTAGAATTACCAAGTTTCGGTTAACATGTCAAGTAAAATAACAGTGATCTTAGTTCAGTCCCTAGTGGACAAAAGCAGAATAACTGTAACATGGCATGAATCAGCAGGCGGTGATCTAAGTGACCACACAAGGACAGAAAAAAGCGTATTTGTCCTTTCACTATCTTTGATCTTCTCAAAGAGTCTGCACTGGTAACAGACTGTCATAGAGAAGTCGGGTTGTGTTCCTACTCTATGCACTAAAAGAATCTATCTCCAAAGATCTTGTGGTGGGAAGCTTTTCAGGAAATGGGACATTGTCACCCTTTTAATGACACAGTTGAATACACTATTGTTCACTGCTTACCTGTCACACAATCAGAGACCAAAGTGAGAATAACTGCAGAAACTGCATTCATTCATATTTTAATAGACAAATCTTACACAAAAAAACTTTTCAGAGGTTTATAAATATAAGCAAAACAAGTTGTTCAATTTGTTTTCTATAAATTAGAATTAACTGAGTACTCAACATTACCATTTATCTGGATACTTTCAGACTCTCAAATGGAACTGTCTCTGTACCTATGATGTCCTGTACCTGTACCCCAAGAATAGAGCAGAGCCTACATGCTGTGTTCAAATCCAAATCAGCAGGTGCATGCCCCAAGGGAACTATCATCACCCCTGGCTCCATTTCTCCCTTCATCGTGGGTAAGGTTCAACCCCTGAACTCACATTAAATGTATCTTAAATGATTTTCTCAAAAACAGAAGAAAATATAACAGAAACCAGTCCTCTACGATTCTACCACTTATTTGACATGAACAGTTCTTTTATGCACTAGCGTAGTGGTTACAAATCAGGCTGCGAACCGCAAGGTCAACAGTTCGAAACTACCAGCTGTTCCGCGGGAGAAAGATGAGGTTTTCTGCTCCCGTAAAGATTTACAGCCTCGGAAACCCTGTACAGGGTCGCTATGCAACAACAACAAGAAGTTTATTCCATGTATACAATTTCCCTCCCAAATATCCAGTGAAACCTGGGAGCCTAGAGGGTTTTCTGTACATCATTACCACTTTCTGTATCTTGTTTTAGTGTAAAATACTTGAGTTTTCTTTCTCTCACAGGTTTCCATCTTACACAGGTTCTGGCTTTGGCAGGTTTCACTGCATTTTATATCTACTTTTATTTCCTGTTAATTTCATTAGAAATTTAAAAATGCATTTGCTATGACTTCCCCTCCTTGCTGCATTAAACTCTCTGCTGTAAAATCCATTTAATCTCAAATCAGTATAGTCATTATTATTTTCTTTCTTATTTATTTTTTTTTTTCAATAACTTTGCCAAAGAAGTACTTGCTTTCTTTTTAAATGTGGGTTGGGACCGTCAGATTACTCAAACGCCACCATGAATAAGAGAAAAACAGAAATGTCGTAAAATATGCATATGCTACACACAAATGAGACTCCAGCATACCTTCATATATGCTAGCGAAATCCTAAAACATCTTGGCTTACCAGTGAAGTGAAACCAAGTAAGCTGCCTTACATTTGCAAACACTGCCCCCCAGGAGCAAAAAACGTAAACACACAAATCTCCCCCTAAGGAACTGTAGGTTAACTGCAGTGCAAGAAGAGAAAAGACTTGGTGCAATTAGAAACTGAAAGCATCACTTACTTTTTGCAGCCACTGAGTATAATTTTCCATCACATGTTCCAGATGCTGAAGTTTCTGGGAAGAGAAATCAGGTTCCACGTGCGGAGCATCTCTCTGCAGAGCGTTTGTGCTGTATTGGTCTGTCGTACTCTCACGACAGTTCCCGTCGTGTTCTGGAAGAATGAAAGTGTAGGCACATTGCCCATGTTGAATCCGGTTATATCTTCTCCCACCGTTTTCTGGACTTCGGCGCTGGTTGCTGCACCCTATGTGAGTCAGAATGGCAGCGAGGAAAGCAAAGGAAAGGAAAACTGTCATTGTGTTGCCAGCACTCTCCTTCCGTGCCTCTCACAAAACTGGCTCCTTTCTTCTGCCTTTTAAACTAGTTCTTTATTTCAGGTAAAGCTGCTTGCTTTTTTGACTTTTCCACCCTCCAAGAAAACTTTTGAAGATGAATCATAGAAAACTAGCCATTTGTTAGCTTTGCTCTAAAAGGTTTTGTTTTCTAAAAAACAAATTTTATTTTACTGTAATGATAGTTTCCTTAGTTAAAACTTGAGATATTTTATTGCATAGTAGCTGAGATTGATTGTTTCCTCTCTGTAACAGTTCAGCGTGGAGCCTGCCTGAGTCAGCTGCATATACATATTCTAGACCCTTTCCTCTACCCTATCTGCTGCAGATCTGCTATTTTCTCCCAGACCTCAGTGAGTTTTATTAAGGTTGCACATCCAAGCCAAGCTAGAAGCAGGCAGCCTTTCACAAGAGGACTTGACAGGAATGCATGAATGTGCCCCTATGCTAAGGATTGCTGATGGCTCAGGGCAGCCGGATCATCTTACAAATTGGCTAGATGCGCATGACCTCAATCATGTATGGCCCGCCCGCCCCTTCCTTAGACAATTGCCTCCAGCCTTAAGCAGATTCACGGAAAATCAATAAATAGAGCAGTCCACCTTAATACACTTTTGGTGTGCCTACGGACCAACTAAAATCTCTCGCAAACTAACAGTATATTTTATTAAGTTTCTTTTTAATTAGGAAACACTAAAAACAAACTTGGTATAATGTCCGATGCAATTATTTTTGACAATGAATAATAAATCTATATAATTATTTTTAAATGTTTATAAAACATTTATTCTTGACTCTGGGGAAATGATACAAAAAGCCACGTTTAAAAATGCCTTTCTTTCATTGAGACTTTTAGAAAGTGGATAAAATAATCAGGGAGGGGTCAAATTAGCAACAACCACCTCCACAACAAAAATTCACTATTTGTCAGTAAGAGGATTATAGCATGTGTATATTACATAGAATAATCTAAATATTTCTGGAATGTGGATTTTAAAATGAAACTTTCCCTGATCAGAATGCAGCCCTGCCTGTTCTGTGTATATAAATTGAGCAACTTCCTTAGAAAAACAATGTGGTTACAATTTAAGACAGTGGCTTGAGAATTATTAATTCCTGTCGCTCATCCTAATCATATATTTCACAAAGATCTCAGTGGTGTTGTTATAACTGTCTTTAACACCACTGTGAAAGTACCAGAGAAATCCTCCTGTGGTTGCATGATCAGCCATCTAAGAACAAACGTGTATCAGGTATGCCAGGAGGCCAACACACTGTGATACAGGAGAAATTGATGTGTTTCTATCAGGGAAGAAATGAAAATGATCAGAAAGCAATTTCACAAGATAAGGGTGCCAATTTTTGAATAAGGAACCATGAATAAAACATGAAGAGTAGGCGATAACTAACATGTAAAGTATGACATGGAGAGTTCCACTAGATGTGCACAGAAAACAAGAGGAATGAGCAGGGTCTTCGCTTAGGGACTGAGAAGGATTTAAAGCAGTGAAGCTTCCCAACTGCAGTCTTCTTTAAATAGAAGCCGCAGTGGTAGCCTCCCATGTTCTGGAAGGGGTAAGGCAGAGGGTGAAGGGCAGCGAGGGTGAAAAAAAAAAAATCCAGCAAGAATGTGACTCGCACTTTGGGACAATTGTTGTTGTTGTTGTTAAGTGCTGTCAAGTTGGTTCTGACCCATAGCGACCCTGTATAGGGTTTCCAAGGAGCAGCTGGTGAGCTTGAACTGCCGACCTGCTTGCAGTTCAAACAGCTTTGCAGTCTGGCTCATTAACCCACAGAGCCACACTAGGACTCCTTGGGGAAAATGGTGGTGGTGGTTATGTGCTGTGGAGTCGGAACCGACTCATAGCGAACCTTTACAGGATTTCCAAGGCTGTAAATCTTTACGGGAGCAGAATGTCTCATCTTTCTCCAGTGGAACAGCTAGTAGTTTCAAACTGCTAACCTTAAGGTTCACAGCCTGATTCGTAACCACTATGCTACCAGAGCTCCTTCTTGGGGACAATAGAAGTACTGAAATTCAATAGCTCTTTCCATACCAATAACACATTGCTGACCTGACAGGGATGGAAGCAAGTTACAGCAAACACATAAACAAAATCTTTGAACCACCTTTGTAGCCTCCTCTTGTGTTGTATGACTCTCAGCTGTGTGATATGTCACTCATGTGGAATAATAAGACAGAAATGTTTATTCGGAGCTAAGCACTCCTTGTGCTGGATTATAAAATCGGTTTGAACCTCAAGGTTGGCAGTTCCAGCTCAACAGCCGCTCCTCAGAAACTATACAGGTTCGCTATGAGTGGAAACAGACTCGATAGCACGTTACAACACCACCACCACCACCAAGCATTTCTTATACACGATCTCTTTTCATTGTTACAACAACAAAATGTTAAACCCCATTTTGCTGACAGGGAAGCTGAGCTGTAGAGAGGTTCACTGGTCACAGTCACACAACTAGAAACTGAAGGTGCTATAATATGAAGTCAGCTCACATTTGAAAACCACAGAAATTAATGAAAGCAACTCCAGAAGGACTCCAGCTGCACTGATTTGCATTCCTAAAATAAGGTAAGTCACGGCATCTAAAAAAAGGACTAAATGAAAACCAGTTGATCCCTCTGAAGTGATTTAATCCATTCCCTGTTTTATTAGAGTCAAAATTTGAAAGTGCTTTGTTTGTAGAGAGTGGTAGCGCAAGGTCAGCAGTTCGAAACTACCATCTGTTCCGCTGGAGAAAGATGAGGCTTTCTGCTCCCGTAAAGATTTACAGCCTCGGAAACCCTGTTCAGGGTTGCTATGGGTCGGAACTGACTTGGCAGCACTTAACAACAATACAGTCTATAATGGGGATCAAATCCATTTTGAGTCTTGACCTAAATTCAGACTCTGTGTTCTTTTTGACCATTAACCAGCAATGTGCAGTTTTACCCTCAGGAAGAGTATGTTTGACTGTAGATTACAACTCTTGGGGATGCCAGGGAGAGGCAGTTTTGTCCTTAGGCTTGTACTACTAACCAACTTGAACTTGCCTGGGCATTGCCCAAAAACAACCATCTGACATATAAAAGTTGGGGTCCTGGCGGCCATGACTCAGGGCTGCCTGATTATGAGTCATACCCAACTACACAGTCAGGTGGTCAAAGCTCTGGAACCAATCCTTTATAAAATATCCCATCCATGATCCTTTCCCCAGTTTTGTATTCACACCTGTGACAGAGGTTAATTGATCTGCCAACAATCATGACCTGCTGGTGGTTTTCTTTGTCTCCTAAAATATGGAACTTTATGGCTATGAATCAGTAGACTCCATCTTGGCCTCTGTACTGTTTACATGAATATAGTTTCCCTCATTCTGGGATAATCACCTTTATCTTGTTTTTGTTCTAGTCAAAACATATAAATGGGAAGGAGCTTTGGAGTTTAGTGGTTATAAGTCGGGATGCTAACTTCAAGGTGAACAGTTTGAGACTACCAGTGGTTCTATGGGAGAAAGATGAGGCTTTCTGCTCCCTTAAAGAGTTACATCCTCAGAACCCCTATGCCGGGTCACTACGAGTCAGAACCGACTCCATCTGTAGAATATGCCCCCAAATTCATATTCTATTGTTACTTTTGTTGTTGTTAAGTGCTGTGGAGTTGGTTCCAATTCATAGTGACCCTGTGTAGTGTTTCCAAGGAACAGCTAGAGGGTTTGAAGTGCTGATCTGGCTTGTAAGGTAAGTCCAGTGCTTATCCTACAGCACCACACAAGGACTCTGCATATTCTATTGTTGCTGATAAATACCACTGAGTTTGTTCTGACTCATAAGGTTGCAATGAGTCGGAACCAACTCCACACATACCACTTCCACCATGCTTGTAAGCAATTAAGATTGGTAAAAATCTGTTTGTCCTTGTGTGTGCATGTACAGCTGTGTGTGTGCATGTTTGTTCCTGTGAACTTTTCCAGTCTGAACAAATGAGAATGAGGTGTACACCATTTCCTAGGGAGAACTGTCATTGTTGTTGTGAAGTGCCTTCAAGCTGGTTCTGACCCATAGCGACCCTATATGGGGCTTCCAAGGAGCGGCTGATGAGCTTGAACCAAAAGGAAGCCTGAAGCGTGAGTCAAAAAGTAGGGAGTCACAGAGTCAGAAGGAATCAAAGGATTGATTCATCTCTTGGGCAGAACAACAAAAACAAACAACCAAATAAAGACACTAGAAACACTCATGTCAATCCACACAAGAGGACTGAAGATCACTTCTAAGACACAAAGATGTGAAGAATCCACTCATGTTTGTTTGGAGACACTGGATGCATTTGAAAATCCTAATAGCATGCCCAAGACAATACGTTGTTGTTGTTAGTGGCCTTGGAGTTGGTTCCAACTCATAGTAACCCTACAAAGGGTTTCTGAAGTTTCAAATATTTTTTAACATAATTTCTTCCATTACTAAATGGACATTCTGAGCAGTTCTACCTAATTTTTTGAAATTAGCATACAAGCTAAACTGCTGTAATAAAGAAATGACAAACAAAGTAACTTAAAATGGAAGTTAACTTTTTTCCATCCAAATTATCCACAGTGCTGATATTTTTGTCCTCTTTGCAACACTTGGATCACAGTGATATATTGGAGATAGTATTTACCTATGATTTTCTAATTGTTGAATACACAGGACATTTTTCTGAACTGTCAAAATAAGAGAATAAATTAGACACTTTAGTGAATCTTGGAAATAATTTACCTAAAAGCTGTTCAATTTCACAAATATTTGAGTAGCTACTGGTAGCGTAGTGGTTACGAATCGGGCTGCGAAACTTAAGGTCTGTGGTTCGAAACTACCAGGCGCTCCGCGGGAGAAAGATGAGGCTTTCTACTCCCGTAAAGATTTACACCCTCGGAAACCCTGTACAGGGTCGCTATGGGTCGGAACCGACTCTATGGCACTTAACAACAACAACAACTGTGGGTGAGGACTCTCTTGGTGTGATTCTATGGAATAAACACTGGACTTCTAGCAGCAAAGTCAGTTACTCAAACCCACCAGCTGCTGCTCCAAAACTCTATACAGGTCACTGTGAGTTGGAACCAACCCAACAGAACTTAAAAACAACTATGAAGCCACTGTGCCAAACCTGGAAAAATAAATCCAAATCAATTCATGGAAATCTGGTTCTTTTAAGCCTTTGTAAGGAGGCTCTAAGTCTTTAGAGAAGTAGAAACCTTCATCTTTCTCCCCCAAATGGCTGGTGAGTTTGAATTTCTGACTTTGTACTTAGCAGTCCAGTGCTTTTCCTACAATACCAGTGCTCCTAAGGGCAATATAATTACAAGGCAATAAGCCTAAACAGCTATATTGTTGGTCAGTGGGATAAGCACCGGACTACTAACAAGAAGGTGTTGGTGGTGGTTGTATGCTGTTGAGTCAGTTCCAACTCATAGCAACCCTATAGAGGGTTCTGA